ATCCCAGGGGTCCCTCCTGGTGTAGGGACAGGGCAGGGGGCCCTGCTGGGGGTGTCCCAACCTTGTACCTTAAGCCCTGGAGCAGCTCTTGTCTGTCCAGCTCTCAGTGCCTTGGCAGGCTCTGGAGAGGAGCAGATTTCCCTGCTGGAGCAGCCTCTCCATTTCCCTGGGTAGTTTTTGCACTGCTGTTCCTTTTGCATTGCATGTCAGGAATTCATTTATTGCTGGGACAGCATTTGCATTGCTCAGTGCATAAATAGGCTATAAATAAGATGCTGATTTCCAATCACTGCACAGCCCCAGAAGCACTCACACCAGGGTGTCAGGTGTGCCTGGCCTGTCCTCTCCAGCACCAGGGTGTCCCTTGGAGCAGTGGCAGCTGCTGGGGCACAGCTGGCAGTGGCTGTGTCACCCAGCACCAGCCAGTGCAGCTCAGCAGTCAGGAACAGGGGTAGGTGTGGGGCAGTGCCAGACCTGTGGGACAGCAGCACTCATGGGAGGGGGTTTTGAGCTCTTGGGACCCCCCATGGGCATCCCAGGGTAAATCCAATTCCTCTTCTCCTGCTCAGTCTGCCTGGGGTTCCTGCAGAATAATTTACATTATTATTATTATAATGATATTATTCCAAACAGTAGCAGATTGTTTGTGACCTCTTTGGGGAGGTAAATGGAAACTGTATTGGGGTTGCTTCCCCTAAAAGCTCAGGTAGAGGGGGCAAGATGAAAAAGGCAAACTGTGCTCTGCTAACCAGAATGTCCCACCAGGACAAGAGGGCTGGACAAGGGTGGCAGTGGGACCTGACCCCCTCAGAGCAGCTCCCACACAGGTTATAGAAGCCAGGCTTTCCAGGGAGGTGGGAGTGGGACCTGCCTTGGAGCTGTGCTACTCCAGGAGCTGAGGCAGGTGTCACTGCAGGGGGACTCACCAGAGCCAGCAGCATTCCTGGGATGTGCTGGAAGGGACAGGAGCTGCAGCATTCCTGGAATTTGCTGGGAGTGACAGGAGCTGCAGCATTCCCTGGAATTTGCTGGAAGGGACAGGAGCTGCCGTGGCTGATGCAGAGCTGGGCCTGAGGTGTCCTCATGCTGCTTGAGCGCTGTCACCAGCTGGGTGCTGGAGCAGGAAGGTCCCCTCTGTGCCCCTGGCTGGGCTGGCATGTCCCTGCTGGAAGAGGCCACCTCACTGCCAGTGCCACCCTCTGTCACCTGCAATGGGGACAGAAACAGCAGCAGTGCAGTGATTGAACACCTGTACCCAAGAGCGAGCTGTTTTGTCATGAATTAATGCTTTTCTCTGTTTTTAGGCTGCTGGGGGTGAGAGCAGCCTGCCATGTCAGCAGAGCTGCAGTGGGATCCCCAAAATACCTGCTCATTGCCAGGCCTGCTGGGGCAGGGCTGCCATGGGCCCATTTCAGTGCTCAGGAGGGGCACTGACAGAGCACACACATCTAGTGGCACTGGTTTAGCACAATTGTCACTGCAGCCCCAGTGAGCCCTGGGAGCAGGGAATGGCTGACCCTCGGGTGGTGAAGCAACAAAAGGTGGAAGGGAAAAGGTGGGAGAGCCGCCCATGACAGGGCTGCACTGCCCACTCGCAGAGGGGGATTCTGGGGTGTGTGTGGTGTGGGGTGACCTCTCTGACAGCCCCTGTGTCCTTGCAGACGAGTGCAGTGCTGTGTGCGGGCGGCTGTGCCCTGCTGGCCCTCAGCTCCCTGCTGGCCATCGTGGCCGTGCTGCTGCCCGGCGGAGCCTGCGAGCGCCGACTCTGCACCCTGGCTGGCTACATGCAGACAGCAGCAGGCAAGTGATGGGGCTCTGCTCTTGGGGGGGAGGTGGGGTGTCCTGTTGTGCCATCTTGGGCTCAGCAGCATGAGGAGATCGCAAACCCTAAGCAAGGGTGGGAGAAAAGCAAGTGTCCCTTCAGTTCAGTGATTGCCTCTGTTGAAGTGTCCAGATCCATCTTTGTGGTTAAGCCCCTGGAGGGATTTCCCTCTCTGAGCTTTACACCTGACACAGGGGCTGCCCAGCCTGTCCTGTATCTCCCCAGGCAGCCCTGGTGATGCTGCATCCACTTAAAATTCCTTTGCAATCTCCTGTGCTTCTGCCTTGGGGGAGTGCAGAGAGAGAGGGGAGGAAGCTGGGGAGGGACAAACCCCACTGGAGAACTGTCACCCCTGCAGGGAGCCACGTCCCTGAGTGCTGGACCAAACCTCCCCAGCTGGCCATGAGCCACCACAGGAGATTAATGCCCCTTCGTGTCTGTGCCCAAGAATAAACTCCTTTGCTTGGAGAAATTCTCAGGGCCAGCCAGGCTTTGTTCTCTGCCTGGAAGCATTCAAGCTGCTCTGGGGGGAAATCCTGTTACACGCTCTCCTCTGCAGGGCTCATCCCCTGGGATCTGATCTGGGACAGATGGAGCAGGACAGATTTCAGCCATGCTGCTCCAGCTCAGCCAGGCTGTGGGGCCACACACATCCCCTTCTCCCAGTCTGGAGATTCCCAGCTCTGCTGGCTGCTGGCCAGTGTGTCCCCTGGGGGTGGGACAGAGGCTGGAGGAGCTCCATGGCAGATCCAGCTCCAGGGATGGTCCCTTGCAGGGGATAACTGGGGTGGAAAAGGGTAACCCCACATTACCTTTGCCTGGAGGGTGGCACATCCCTGCTGTGTCTGGAGCAGATACCAAGCAAAGGATTAGGAAGAGTCCCTGGAAAGGAAACTGACTGTGGCAGATAAATACAAATGAGGAGCTGCCAGGGGTTCTGGTAATATTGAACAGGCTGTAAATAAACTGTAGGCTCTAAGCGTTATTGACAAATGAAAATTTACTGGGGACGTTTGAGCAAGCTAATGGGTTGCTTTAAACCCTGGCATTGCCTGCTAAGCATTTTGTCTTGTGCTTTTTAATTTTGTGCACTGTGGATTAATTCCCATTCAGAGCCAGGCAGCCCTGAGTCAACAGAATTAAATGGTTTAATGTATTTGGATTCAGAAATGCTGCCCCTCCATAATTTCTCTCCTTGTTCCCCCCTCCCTCCCTAGGAGGAAGCTTTTCAATAGAAATCAGCTGCAGCGGGGTGACAGGGAGAGAAACTCCTCCCCAAAAATCACATTATCTCAGAGAAAAACAGGGATTTCAGGATAGATGGAATTATGGGGGAGAGAAGGAAAGCAGAGCAAGCCTGGAGGTTTGGTAGAGAAGCTTTCTGATGGGGGGCAGCTCTGCCAGGGGGACCCCCTGAGATGCTGGCAGAGCAGTGAGGGTTGTTTCTCTCAAATCCCAGGTTTCCAGGTCCTAAAGTCACCTTTCCTCTGTCTGACCAGACATTTTCCCACTGAAATCCAAATTTTGCCCTCCTTTTCCCATTTCCACAAAGCCAACTTCAGGTATTCTTTTAGAGCACCAAAGGTATGAATAAATCAGCTCAATTCTATGAAACACTGAATCAGGAATCCAGTGTGCTGATAAAGAGCCAGGTGCACTGAGCCAGGAGCATGGAACATGCCAGAAGTGAGGAGCAGAGGCACCAGCAGAGCCAGAATCAGCCCCCACAGGCTCTGCACTGTCTCAGAAGGATGCCCTGAGCTGCACTCACATAAATCCAGGTGCAGAGGCCAAGGATTGATCCCTGAACCAAACAGGAACCAATCCTGAGAGCAGCCCCACAGCCAGGCTCAAGCTACAGCTTTAACACTTTCCTGCTGTACATTTGGAGAGCCAAGTTGTGCCTTTGCAGCCCAGAAAGGAGGAAGATAAAAACCTCAGGCAGACAGAGCAGAGCTCTAATTGCAGATGCAGACAGGCCACCAGGGTTCAGAGCCGGGCTAATTGCCACCATGCTTTGAGAACAGGAGTCCTGATGCCTGGCATCCATCCTTAGGAAAAACCCAACATATCCACACAACAGACAAGAGGATGGTCCCTAATGAAAGAGTTAATGAGCAACAGGGGGAGGAGGGAGGGTAAAGGAACATTTGCTCAGCTCTCACACCCTACAAAGTCAAAGCTGCCTCTGAGAGATTAGAGATGAGGCTCACCCCCTGCTCGTGGTGTCAGCTCACTGAAATGGAATTTCTGGGGGATTCTTCCTCCCAAACCTTTGGAGGCAGCACCTCCAAATAGGCTGAGGGAGCCAAGCTGGGTTTTATTTGTGGGGTGGCCCAGTCCTCAGCTGCAACCCATTGCTTGGTTGGAGAAGAGTCCTGGGGCTGAGCCCAGGAACAGGGAGGGCAAATGGGGGCACAGCTGAAACCCTGCCAGTTGTCCTTCAGTAAAAGCCTCTTTGCTGGGCTTTAAAAACAGGAGTTAATTCCAGGAAGAAATGTCTCCTGCTGTGTGGGGCTGAAAGGGAAGCCCAGGGAATGTTGTCCAGGGCTGATTGTGGCTGTGCAACCTCTCTGGGGGCTGCCAGGTGCTGCTCAGGGCCCTGCAAGGCTCTCAGAGCAGATTTTCAGTGACTGGCAGGGGGAAGCTGCTGGAAGGAGCTCGGGGCCATCCCAGTGTGTCAGGCAGTGCCTTCACCCATGGCACCTGTGGGTGATGCCCTGGGGAGCCCCAGGGCTCTGCTCTGAGCTGTCACAGCCCACACAGCCCCAGCAAATGCCTCACAGGAGTGTCCTGAGCCTGGGGGAGCTCAGAGCAGCCTGTGACAGATTTCCAGCAGGGACCGTGCTCCAGAGCATCCCCACCCCCATGGGAATGGCCCTCCCAGGGCAGTAAGGCTGGTGACAATTGAGATTGCCACTCAGTAAACCCCATCAAACAGGAAATCTGGGCAGATTTCTGCTCTGGGGCTCGTGGTACTAAGGGAAGGACTATGGGTGACCATGCTCCAGCACTGGAGCTGCTTCCATCTGCTGCTGAGGAATGAGCCCTCACAGGCAGGATGAGCCCCCCTCATCCCTAAAAGCCTCAATAAAGGCAGGATTATGCTGATTTTGGGAAGCTTTTCCCTGTGTGCTGTTGAGGCAAAGGGCTCCTGCTTTGCTGGCAGGGGTGGCTGATCCAACCTGCAGTGGCCCCATGGCTGCTGCTCCTTCCCCTGCTCTCTGGGGCTCCAGGAGGAGCTGCAGAGCCTGGGACCTCACTGAGGCACAGAGCACAAGAAGCCTTCAGGGAGAGCTTTGCTTTCACCCCACACTGCTCTCTGTCCCATCCTACCACCATCAACTCACTGCTCAAACCCAGTGCTGGGGGAAATGATCCTGACCTGCCTGTGCCTTTCTAAGGCTCTTCTGGTTTTAAAGAGCAATTTCCCAGCATTGCCATGACAGAATCAGAGCAGTCACAAGGCTCCAGCAAGACAGGCAGAAACCCTCAGTTATGCAATTTAGCCACACTGTAATCCCAGGTTTCATGGTAGTCCCAGGAGCTTTTTCCTGGAAAATGTGATTGCATTCTGCAGCCAAAATCTCTCTTACTGGCAGCAGCACGGTGGCATTACAGAGATGGCCTCAACTTTTGGTCAGTTAAGCAGCAGAGCAAAATACAGAGCAAAATACAGGAGACCTTTGTTTGTTCTTTAGACACTGATCATTCAGTAAGAACACAGAAAGAGGGAGAATTGTTCACTTTCAGATCAGTGTGAACCTTCTAAATGTATCAATTCCCAAGGACTGAAAACCAACCCAGATTAGAATGCTTTGTGCCATTCCCAAGGGAGAGCAGCAGGATGGGTGGGAGGTTTGGGGCAGCAGGGCCCCAGCAGTCCCTGGCCAGGACACTGTCCCAGTGTCACAATGCTATTTAGGAAGGCAGCACATGATCCTTCTCCCTCATTGCACCTCCCTGCATCCCAGCCCACCTCTGGGATCGATGGTGCCCTGTTTGTCCCAGCCGGTGCAGGCTCTGCATGGCAAACAGCACCATCATCTGCATCACTATTGATCCCTCAGGCTCCCATCCATCAGCCTGGTGACACATAGGTAATGTGTAATTAGTAACTTAGATAAAAACAGCACCAGGAGGGAGCTGCCAGGCCAGTGAGTCCATGGAGCAGCAAACAGAGGGCTGGTGGCTGCCTGGTCACTGAGTCACTGAAACTCTTCCCTTGCCTTTGGGGTCCCTCCCATCCTGCCCCTCTCCCAGACATCCCCATTGGAACAATGGCATGAGGGAGACACCCTGCCAAGCATCCCTGCCCGATGCACTTGTGGGGATGCTGGAGAGCAGCAACAAGGATGGTGCAGAGGCCACCAGGCAGTGGGGACACGCTCTGCTGCTGGGTTCAGTGTCCCAGCATGGCTCTGAGGGGACAGAACTGGGGCAGGCCCCTCTCCAAGCAGGGGAATTATCTAAAAGCCTTCAGGAAGGGCCAAGGCTCGAGCTGCAGCAGCCCCAAGCCCTGTTTGTCACAAACATCCTTGGCATTCGGAAGAGGAACCTGGCAGTGGAGGCAGGGGAAAGCAGCGCCCTGCTGTCCAGGCATTGATTTGATTTCAAATCACCCAAAGCTTCCCCCATCCCTGTTTAAAAATAGCAGCTTGGCTTTTATCACAGAGCCCACGCCGTCCCTCTTCTCGTGGCAGAAAAACATGCTCAGTCCTGATGCACTGACACTGCTGGATGTGCTCAATCATCAGAGCAGCATTAAGGAAATGCTGCCATAAAGCTGTTTCCCCACTTAGGAAAGGTTCCTCAGATCTGCAAGAGAAGCTCCCAAAATAAGCAAAGTCCAGTCTTCCTGCAAGGTGCAAAAGCAAAACAGCAGCATAAAACCTGAGCCTGGAGATGTGTCCTGCTCTGAACTGCAAGGGCAGATTGTTTGTCTTTCTCTGGAAAGAGCAAAGCTGGGAGCAGCTGC